CAGGCCGGTGGGGTCGCACAGGCTGCGCGCAGGGCGTAGGTGCGCTCCTCGCCCCTGGCGTGACTCAGGTCGGAGGCCCCGGGCGAAGCTGTCCTGGGGGTAGGCAGGCGGGGCTCAGCGCACAGCTGGGTGCAGTTTCAGGCTTTGGTGTGATCGCGTCAGCGTGTTCCACACCTTGCCCTCCAACCTGGGAACAGCCCAGGCCGCGTGGATTTCTGCTCCTGGACACCCTCGGTTTGAGCAGCTGTGATAGGTAGGGCCCTCTTCAGCTGCAGCCCGGCCCTCACCCACAGGCCAGTGTGCTTCTTCCCCACAGCCAAGGTCTTAGCCCCCGTCTCGTTAAATGGCAGTGATGAAGAATCCACTGGAAACAGGTGGAGAAGAGTGAGGTTGCCAGGCCACTCTTCCTAGAAGAGCATGTGTACACGTGTGTGCAGGTCCCAGAAACGTGGGCAGGGCCGGGAGCGATGTTCAGCTAGCCCCGGCTCCTCACACTGGTGCAGAGACTGAGGTCTCAAGCTTGGACTTTCTCAGAAGATAGGAAAACATAAACCATTCGGCGTGCTGCTAGCCTGCTGTGGCTGGCCATGGGATGCGTATATTCTTCCTGGCAACCTTGGGGAAGCGTGGAGGCCTGGTGGTCTCGCGGTGGGACCTGCTGCACGGGACCTGCCTGAGCAGCCCAGCGTTTGCGGACTTGACCACCGATTCCCTGAGACACTGAGAGGCGAGTAGCCGTCAGGCTTCGGGTGCAGGTCCACTTGTGCCGGGTCGGGAGGGCCTGGTGGAAGTGTGTGTGCGCGCGACTGCAGACGCTTCCATAGAGGCCTCTCCATGGCGCGGGAGGTGGGTGCTGTGCCTGAGGGTGGGAGTCGGAGAGGCAGTCCTGCAGCCAGCTCAGTGGCACCAGAGAGTACGGAAGAGTGTGGACAAGTTTGGGGTCATTCTGGGCCCAAAGAGTTGGTCTCCTGCCATTTGTCGGTATTTTTATTAAAGTGCTTGTGTTATTTTCTCTGCCCGGAAGGAAGGAGCAGGT